GAAACAGGGTAAAGACAGAATCAAACAAACTAAAAAAAATATAAGGCCCTGTCTTATTTCGGGGAAAAAGGGTAAAAACAGAATCAAACAAACCAAAAGATAAAATTTATTATGGGGAGGAAGGCCTACCCTAACCCTGGCCTCCAACAGAATACGCAACCAATTTGTCACCTTTCAGAAATGTGTAAAACTAAAAAAGTGAAAGAGAAACCATTTAGAGACTTAACACTATAAAGAAAATGTGTAAACTCTGCCTAATTGTCAAGCCTCCCCAATCACCTAATATGCATCTCAGGTTGGTGTAGGAAGAGATACAAAGCAGCAAGGAGTTTAAAGTATCAACCACTTCTTCTGAGTTGCAAAAGTGACGCCTGTCCGCAGAACCTGCTGCTATTTTAGCATGTTTGCATCTCACCGCAAGTAATAGCTGCTAGTCAATAGCAATAACATTAACTATAAGAAGCAGTTTTTGCTTGGGGGTGGGGGAACACCAGATATAAGCTAAAATTTGCAGTGAACCATTCTGTACTGTGCCTCAAAGAAAAACTGCAGGATCAAACTCTATACTTGTGGTAGGAAGGGAAAACCACAAACGGGAATAGTGCATACTTAGCACATTTCCCAGAAAATTTGTTCTTCAGAGGCCACTTGGACAAGACTCTGAAGGCTTCAAAATTCACTTTGCAATCCTATATCTGGTTTCTTAGGAGTAAGCCCATTTGAATCCAGGATTGTATTGTTGGTGAAACACTGTTTAAGTTGAACAAGCTAGAATAGGCTTTACCACAAAAAGGCCTCAGCATCTGGACAAAAAAAAACCTGATGATATCCTGCCCTAGATTCTTCTGCTAGCATTCAATTCTGACTAACCATAATCCATTACAGGCTTTTCTAGGTACAGACCTCCTGGAAGCAGTTCACCATTCCCTTTTTTTGGGGTGCATTCTGGACTGAAGGCTCTCTTCTCAGCAAGCAGAGAACTCCCAATTTTTAATCCATAGCCAATTACCCAAATCACTGAGCCGTCCCTACACCAATCAAAACTGCACTGGAACATGGCAAGACTTACTACATCCCAGTAATAGAATGTTCTTCAGCAACCACAGAGCTCACGTATCCAAACTGGATGTATGCAGTTTTCACCTTGCTGTGAGGAATGAACATTAAGAATGGAGGGAGGATCTAAGGTTTTTAATTTTCCAGTCCTCGGTGACTCTATCGGCTACCACAGGTGAAACAGAACAGGGTGTCACCTAATGAGACCCATTCCGTTGTTACATCTTGGAACAATATGCAGATGAGAAGGACTAAAGACTAGTCCCCTGCCTTTACCCTCTCCTCCCCTGCATGCTGTGTTTAACATCTCACTTGAAATCCAAAAGGCTTGTGTGTTTTTGTGTAGTTCTGCATACCTTTTTTCAATTTTGGCTGGCCTATAAAAATATCACCTGGTAAACTAATATTAGTTTACCAGGTGATTAGATATTGGCCCTGAACAACAAGACAGACAGCCTCAGACATAAATATGAACTTCCCCCACTGTCAACTACGAAAGTGAACAGTGTTCAGTATGCTTGTGAAAGTCCATTTACCAGAGTCTGTGAACATAATGGATCATGAATGGCTTTTTTCTTCCTATTGGCTCCTGTTCAGCAATGTATGTTATACTATTCAACATGTTGGACAGCAATAAAACATTTCAACATCTTTTTTACTTTGTTTTTGTTTGGTCTGAAAAATGTGACAATTGCAACCCACTGTTTTCACTATATGTTTGATAGGTTTTCCAAACATAATGTTTAGTGTCATTAATCCTTCTTTCCTTGTGATTTTATAAATACACACTGAAAAAAGGCACTATAATCCAACATTCCCCATAAATGGAAACTGATGAAGACAGTAGGTATCTCAGAAAATAAGAACTCAATCCATCTTTAAAATAAGCGGGCTTTAAAAGCTCAACAAATCTGAACAATTGTTTTCCAATTTGTGACACAGTTCGAGCAACAGTCCTTCAATATGGCTTCAACACAGTCGTTATTTTAAAAATTGCACAGCCACATTTTCCAGCTTTCATTAAGCATACGGGATTTCAGTTTTGCTAAAACTGCAGCTCCTCTCTTCCCTGGCTATTTTAACTTGCTACTGAACAGAACAAATTTAATGTTAAGGAATTTCCAGCATTCTGCTGGTGGCTAAACCGGCTCAATCATAAGAAGGCCATGTTTTTAAATGAGATCTGGTTCAGTGATCACTATCTTCTGTCCAACCTGCTCAAGCAACTGCCAATTTTTTTCTCAAATGGGAGGCATTTGTTAATAGTTAGAAGCCAGGTAAGACCTTTGCTAAAAATTTAACAGCACACTGGCCAAAGTCTCTATTCTCTAATTAAAATAATTTCAAATTATCATTACCATTCTGAGTACAAAGCAAGTGCAGTATCACACTAAATGTACATAAAAATGCTACACTCTTCAACAGAAAAAAGTACAGTTATTTTACAATTCTTTTACTGTTATATTTTGAAATATGTTGAAATTTCAAACATTTGAAGGAGAAATGAAACATAGATTTCTATACCAACTGGATCTTGGGTTTATCTGTTATCTACACAATAGTGTATACATGTCTTCTGGAGACATTAATGGAATTGTAAGCTATCACCAATTGTTAGAAGTTCATAATTAATATTTTTAAATTCCATTTTACCAGAAATAAAAACAAGAATATAAAACACAAGTAGGCTAATTTATACTGACTAACTTATAAAACACTAGGAGGCTAATTTATATTGTTAATTTATACCAACTAATTAATGCTTGGTTTCCCCAACTAAAGTTTCCCTGTACCGATCAAGTGATAATAAAATCATGCACACAAGTCTTTAAATGTGCTTGAAGGATCTTATTACTCCATATGAGTTTCCTCTGCTTTTGAGATCTGCTGTGAGGCCCTTCCGTGCCTCCACCTTCAAAGGCCTGATTGGGGATGATGCAAGAGAGGGCCTTCTCAGTGTCTGCTCCCAGGTTTTAGAACACATCATTCCAAGAAGCCAGGCTAGCTTCCTCTTTCTTGTCCTTCTGTTGTCAGGCAAATACCCTTCTTTTCATGTAGGTTTTCAAACAATAAGTGGAGCCTTTAACCACGCTTTATTTATTGAATATAGAAATTTTTAAAATGTTTAAAAATATTTTTAAATTGTATTTGCGAAGGCTGTGCTCTTTTGCTTCGGAGTGTTTCCAGTCTCCGGGTCTTTAAATTGTTTAAATTGTTTTAATGATGGTTTTAATATATTATATGTTTAATTGCTTTAATATTGTTTTAAATGGCTAATTGTAAGCCACCTTGAGTCCCCTATGAGGAGAAAGGTGGCATATAACTAAGTAATGAATATAAATAAACAAACAAATAAAATAATTGAAGCAATCAATCTATCAACTTGTTCTTTTTTGTAGAAGTATTATTAGAATGTTACTAAGTCAGGGCCTTAGCACAGGGCATAAGTACCCTAACAGACAATTAAGTTTGTTTTTAATTGGGCCACTCATACACTAACAGTAGTTATTCCTAACAGTAGTTATTGCTAGTTTTCTGTATACTCTATATTCATTCTACATGTACTCTCATTTGGCAAAGAAGTTTCTAGTTACCACTTATACACCAAGTCTAAAGTTCATCATTCAAGATACCACAGCAAACCATTGACAAACTTCCTTAATCATGGTGTGTTTTGAGCTGTGCTATTAGGGCAATTTTTAAGCTGCTACTGTCATACCATCAGAGGTGGTAAATAAGGCTCACATGATATGTGAATGAAACAAAATATAAGGATCATATATATTCAATCTATTTAATACATCTAGTTTTAAGTGAAAAAGTGACACTTAAATCAGTGCAGTTTTTTGTACACTTTGTACCAGTGTGACAGAGTTTAGAACTATACCACTTCCCCAGCACTTTAGCACTAATGCATCAGGAGTATCAGAAAGCACACAGAAACACATATCAGCTGTAGTCATTAATAGTGGGTTTTGCAGGAAAGATGCAAGTAAGTGCCAAAGCACTCATGATCCAGACAAGTTGTAGTGGACCCTTGACTTACAGACGGCTTGACTTACAGACTTTTTGACTTGAGAACCGCCTTCCAATACGGATTAAGTTCTCAAGTCAAGACCCCACTGGAGTAGGCATCCTTCAGTCTCGAGAGACTATGGTAATGTGCTCTGTATGGAGGACTTGGAACAGCGTCTAGTGTGGCTGAGAAGGCCAATTCGAGAGTGACAATCTCTTCCACATTGAAGACAAATACAATCTGTCCCCTGTCCAGCTCCTTGGTTTTGCTTATTTCGGGACTGCCTCTTTGCCTCGGCCTGCTGTACAAGTGTCTCTTCAAACAAGTTAAATCCTCTTAAATGTCCCAAAGACTTCAAATGGGAGAAATTCAATTATAAGCCTTAAAAATGTCTCATTGTTTAAACAGAACTAAGAGCTAACATTAAACAAATTAAACACAGATTCTGCAACATCTAATAACTAATCTTGTCATTTTAGGAATTACTTTTTGTTACTACAGCCACAACATTATGCAAGACTGTGAAGATCTATTTAAAGCCAAACACAAAACCATATTTGTAGCCAAATTTGGAAAAAACAAAAGCCTTAAGGATATGAATCCCAAATGATATTAAACCAACATTAATAAAATGGACTTTATGCTGCCTCATATAACTGCATGTGGCCTAAGTTAATGTTTCACTCCCAAGGGTAAAGTGAAAGGCTTGGAAGGCAACCTCTGTGGAAAAAACACTTTCTAACTTTTCCCACACACTTTTCTACATAGTACCTGTAATCTACAGTATTGGTAGATAAGGATTATGAATCTATAAATCAATGCAGTAGATTATACAATCTGCATGTTCCAGTCTTCACAAACAAAAATGCAGCCACTTCTGCAAGATACATTCAATGATTCGCAATGACTCCAATAAATAGATACTTACAGAATCCTTCTATTTTGTCAGCTGTTTTACTCCATGCTACCTGCCTGGTTTCCATAATGACCTGGACTGTCCTCCTTTCTGGATTACATTTTTTGAGGCTATACACTGTCATGACAGTGCCCAGTTCCAGAGTCCTTTTGATCTCACTCTTCTCATATTCTGGTAGCTCCCCACAGTCTATGTTTCTCCAGGACATTTTCAGAGTGAAGGCAGAACGTCTTCAAGTAAACTGCAATGAAGCGGAATAAAGATATATTTTAAAATAAATATACATTGTAAATTTACACACAAAGAGTAAGAATTACAAGAACTGAAACTGGGGCTAGCATGAACAACTGCTCTTGAGATCAAGGTACAGTACTCAGGTACCTGCCACTGACTGATTAATTTTAACAAAAATTAGAGCTTCAGAAATTTTTCCAGAAAGGCCAAATCACAGATGAGAATACAACAATCACTGGAAAATATAAAAATGCTCCAAAAAGTTGGAGGCCAGTAGGAAAAGAGGAATAATAAACATGAGATGGATTGGCTCAGTAAAGGAACCCATGGCCTTGAGCTTGCAAGACGTGAGCAGAACTACAAATGAGAGGAATTTTGGGATAATTAATTTGATGGCACATAACCACAACATGATATGGAAAATGAAGTAAAGACACCCCAAAGACATCAATAAGGTACCAAAATATTGTCTTTTACAGCATTATGCAATCATCTATAGCAGAAGAAACATTTTAGCACCTTCTTTAGAGGACTCCTCATTATCACCCACCCAGGTTTACAACACAAGTGAGAAAAACAGTCATCCAGATGTTGCTGGACTATAACTGCCATTCCTCATCATTGGCTATGGCTCTACCAACATCTGGGAGAGCCCTACTTTGCCTATACATATTACAAGATCAAAATCTTGACTGTGCTTTCTGGATCATCAGGTAAGAAAATAATGACCAGGTTCCTAATAATTCCTAGTGAATACCACCAAATAAGGTCCACCAAACAAATGGGATTTCCTTCTAAATAAGCATGCCCCTGCTTAGGCTGAACTCTCAGCCCAAAAACTCCTAACTCAAATCTCACCTCCACTATGAACACACGAGTTAACTTTAGGCACTGTTCCACATTCTAAACACCCCATCGTCATTTGTAAGATGGGAATCACAGTACAGTATTGACAAACTTTCCAAAGCTGTTGGTAAGAACTATTGACCAAGTTGAAGCACAGTATATATAGAAGGGCTAGATAAATACAGTACAATCTTTCTCATGTAGTTTAGGTTAGTGGTGAGTAGAAAGTTGACTGAGACCTACCAGCAGATCTCTTAGTGATTTGCAAATGGAATCTGGGACTGCCCATGGACCAAGTGTGAGAAATACTTTATCCCCAAATTTGGGGAAACACCCCTGCTCTAGTCATATGAATACATCTATGTATGAATACACAAGCAAGGAACATCAATTCCCATTGGTTAATAAATCAGATGGTGAGGAAACTTTAGTCTGTACTGCCTCTCTTCTCATGTAAGCAGGATCTTCCCTGTGCCTGGCTTACAGGAGCAATGAGTTAGCTGACTCCACTGAACCTGAGATTCCTGATATGGAATCTGGTTCTGACCAGTGGACTTTACAGTTCTCATTAAAAACAAAGTAAGAGCAGTAAAAAAGAAAAGAAAAGAAAAACACACACATTCCTTTAAAGTAACAATACCACGCAACAGAAAGAAATCAGTATCAGAACATTTTAACCTTCCAGGAGACTGTTATTGATCTTAAAGTGACTATAGTACGAAAAGGGAATTAGAAAGGGAGACTCAGGAGTGAGATTCCTGCAAGAGAATGCAGAACACTCAACATAGCAGGGTCGATAAAAATCAATGATTTTTTAAAAATCAAATTGATTTAAATCACATCATGATTTAAAATACAAAAAAATGATTTAAATAATCAGAGAGTGAATTTTTGTTTAAATCAAATCCACCCTGCAATACAGCAAGTGGAATTGTGTACAGGGTGTTCCTAAACTATGCATTTTAAACATTACAGAAACAATCCAAAATTGTTTTGTTTATTTGTTTTAAAGAGATATTCAGTATCCATCTGTTTCTGAAAACTGCCCATGCATGAATACACCTGTCCTCCATTAATCTCATGATTTAGGACCAACTCATTCTTTTTTCTTTGCTTCTAGTCAATACTAATGATCCTGAAACAAGCATTCTGTAAATATTCAGGAGACTTTTTTGATAGATATATTTTACATAAATAACATCTGATGGTAAATACTGTACACAGTACATACACTTTTGTTCTGAAAGGCATAATAATCTTATTATGTTCTAAGAAAGATAAAAAGCTTATTCCAAGATGTATTGTTTTTTCAGTAATACTGAACTACTTAACAGAAATAATGGTCTGCATGCAGAGGACAGCAAGTGATGCTCTGCAAATCTAATGGGGTTTCCTGATCTTCAGCTCCAAACCTTTATATCAGACCCAATTATCTCTCTTTCCTAAAATGCACTATGAATTTCAGTAAATCATACATCAAATAGGTCCTCACAAAACACCACAATTAACTCCACATAGCTGGTTAGATGAACTATTAATTAACTACCATTCATGTTGTGTCCCTAACAAAATATAAAGAATTGGGAGAAAGCACCAAAGCTTTTACAAAGTAAGAAGGTCTTGCAAAAAGAAATGGCAAAGAATTACTAATGAAGTAGACAGCACTTAATGCTTTATGCTGCACCAATGAAAATGTCCATCTTACCTCTGCCTTTTGCCCTATCAAGGAAAAGCACACATGTATACATTTGCATTTACTAATTAAGAAACAAATGCTAAAATGAATTGGAAATCTTTATCGGAAAAATATAGTTATCCTGACATGCATCTCTACTCCACATCTATGTACTCCATAAAAATTCTTAAGACACATTGAACTCAATGCCACGTGCATTTTTGTTTCAACTAAAAGAACAAATATAAGAGAATGTACTTTGTCCTGTAGTATGTGGGAAATGCCATAAAGTTTTTTCTTTTAAATGACAGGGCAAAGCCATAAAGAAAAACACTGCAGAGCACATTGGTAAGTGAAATACACAAGGCAGAATTAGTGGCCCTTTTCTATAGCTGCCAATCCTACTTGTAAATTAGTTAATCTAAAGATTTCAGAACCATTATCAGGAAACTGAATTAATCTAAAGATTTCAGAACCATTATCAGAAAACAGTATTCTAGTTTACATGGTGCAATGACTAGAGCACTAAATGTGACAATAACAGGCTAAAACAGAGGACATAATGTTACTAATTTGTGCATAAGCACACAAGGCAGCAATATAAAAGATCAAAACATCATAGTAAGATTCAGGCTACAATCCTGTATACAATTACTCATCAAAAAGTCTCACTGAATTCAACTGGGATTACTTCTGAATGTCTGCTCTCTAAATGTCATAACTAAAGTTTGTTTGAATATTTCAATACACTGGAAAGCATTTAGGAAATCAGGAGAACACATTCTCCAACAATGTCATTCAGGAAGATGGCACTGAAACAAGACTTATACTGCAGTGACCTTGAGAGGATTTTTTGTCATAACTAAAGTTTGTTTGAATATTTCAGTACACTGGAAAGCATTTAGGAAATCAAGAGAATGCATTCTCCAACAATGTCGTTCAGGAAGACGGCACTGAAACAAGACTTATACTGCAATGACCTTGAGAGGGTTTTTTAAAAAAAATCTTCTTGCAATGAGGAACTGAGATGCAACTCAATAGCAACACTGGTTTTATTGCTAGGCCAACACTTGAACAAGATTTCCAAATCTTAATTTAGTGCTTTGGTGGTGTAGGTGGGTGTACAGGTGTGATGAACTACCCATGATCAGGTTACATTTTCAAAAGTGATTTGACCCAAACTACAGACTGCAACATACCATCAGCCCAAACACTGACAATGTTGGCTGAACCAGACTGCAGCAGGGCTCCAACAGCATGCAGAGGTCCACAGGTCCTCTTCTCCTGCTATATAATAATGTGTAACATCAAATCAATTCTGACTCATGGTGACCATTTCCAGAGATTTCTAGGCACCATTTTGGGACTCTGCAGCTTGTCCAAAACCACACAGGCTGGCTCTTTTCCGGCATGGTGGGGAATCAAACTCCCAACCTCTGGCTTCCTAAACCAATGAGCTATCCAGCCAGCTCAAATGACACTATCATTTGTCAACATGTTCAAGCACACCTGCTGTGCCTACAACACAAGCTTAATTAGAACCTAATTTCCTTCAACTATGCTCACTTTCATATACTGTACATGTGTATGAGATTTTAGCCTTAATGAGTATGTTATAATTCACAGGGTTTTGTTTTATTTTGCCCCAACCAAACAATCAACTGCAAATACCCAAGTGGGGTAAGGCAGGCACCCCACTCAGTTCACAAACTATCAGTATTCCCAGGCATGAGTCTCTGCTACTTCAGCATGCAAGCATGTGCTGTATGACAGAACTATAACCCTTCTGTTGGAATCAGGTGTAATAGAGCAAGATTCTCAGGTAGGCTGCTCTCATTCATGAGAAATAACAGGAAGCAATGGTTACAAAGCTCTGTTTTGGAATCACAGCAACCCTCATCCTGAAAAGATAGACCTAAAAAACAAAAACCCAAAACATATACTAGTAACCCCAGCATCTCTCTTATTTATTTTCTTTATTCTTTTCCCCACCAGTTTTCATAACAAACAACGTGCTTTGGTTTCCTTGTTAATAACCAGACCCCACAGCCTCTACTTTTTTTTCCACATCCTTGCTGGTTCTTAAAGAGCTATCCTGAGGAAAGCAAAACTGTCTAGTCTTAGAAATGCATACTACTTCCCCATTTTAAGAGCAAAACACACACTAATACATAATTAGGCATTTTAACATTCACTTTACTTTTACTGTGTGTTAGAACACAAATAAGTGAATCAGATCACAGCAATGTTACTGACTGCTCCGCATCCTTCGTCTCAAATTACCAGCAGGAATGTTCACAATGTTGCATTCCCAAAATCCAAAACCAAACGTCATCTTAAATAGTAAGAGAAAAGCTCAAGTTATTACTTATTATAATGCTCCCTAGATACCAGATTCCATTCTTCAAACCTGTAGCATTTACACATATCTATTTGCATAGCACATCAGAAAAAGTCACTCAACATTTGAAGAAATGTCTGCAGTCTTAATTGCAAGCACAGAAGAAACCTATTAGCTGTTACAGGGTGCCTTGGCAGAAAATTAAATCTGGCAGCTATCCTAAACAAACTACTGGAGAAGATGCAGTAGTATCAAGAAACAGTGTTTGAATTGAAACAATTAGTACAGGTTTGGAAGAAATATACAGAACACTCTGTGAATGAGACTAATGCAGTTCGGTAAAGTCAATGGGGTACTGCTTCATTTACACCCCAGCTAGCCCACTCCTGCCTCCCTCCCATTGGAATCCCAGCCTTACCACACTCTGTATGAGGAGGAGATAGGAAATGAATGGGAGTGGACAAGTCACTGTCCACTTTTGAAATTAAGCGTAGAGAGAATAAGTAGGAACATGTCTAACCTTGGAGCAAGGTTTACTTTTCTGCTTTTCAGCCAACCTGTATGAATAAATGGGATGGAAGTGATGTGGTGCCTGAATAAATGCTTGCTCATCCACTTATATGTGAGCTTGCATGCATATGCCCACGTGTTGTCTTCACACACACACCCATTCTTCCCAGCCTTCTCTGTTACCCTCAGCTCTACTCTCTACTGGTGGCTCTGCCTTCAACTGAACCACAATGAACACCAGGTACTACCGGCTGCAATCGAACTGGAATAAGAAAATGCAGTCAATGGTTATGTGAGAAACCTGTTCATATATCTGTGAAGACTTGGCCTACTGTCTTCTCCATTGCAATGTTCAGAAAATCCTGAACTGCACATTACAGAGATGACAATTTTAAATGTTGTCTCTTAAAACTGTTCAGGTACCAATGTAACTGGAACTTTTTGCCTGAATGATACGGATGAATATACTAACAGCACCTGACTAGTTTACACTGGAATTTGGAAAAGCAATGCAGCAAGGGAGAAAATTCCACGGATAATGACAGGAGTTCTGAGAAACCAGAGGCTGAGTCACCCAATTACCCTTCTCTACCTATCCTGTAAAAGAAGTTAACGATTTGTTCTCTATGTGCATGCACAGACCTGAAGATGGAAGAATTTAACTAAACTTACACAAATATTTGAAGAACTCGCCAACATCTGCTCCAGGAAAGAAAAGGTACAGAGCCATCATGTCACACAAAATAACAATGGTTATGTGCTTCTGAACAAACCAGGATTTATGTGCCAACTCTAAATTCTGGCTCATCTTTGCATCACAATGGCAGAGCTTTGGAATAGACATCACTTAGTAGAATGAGAACTTGTGGAGGGGGTAAATATACAAAGGGCTGGTTTATCATACTCTGATGTAATATATTTATTTGTTTATTTATTTAAAATATTTCTATGCTGCCTTTCTCCCCAAAAGGACCCAAGGCGGCTTACATCACTAAAACAGTATTTAAAGCTAAAACACTAAGTATACAAACACTAAAATAATACACTTGTCATCTTATAGGGACTCCCTGTCATAAGGCCATTCAGTCCAGACTCTACAATTAATTAACCATGCCACTCCTATCTTTACTGGAAGCAATTACCAACAGCTCCTCATTCACACGTAACAGGAAGTCAATATTAACTATGGCTTTCTAATTAATGTTCCTGTTCATAAAGTAGCAAATGAGCCCCATATATGTTTGCGTTCTGGCTTCCTCTTAACATGTGAACACAGCATTTTCATGGTAACTATATCAATGTGATAAAAGAAACAAATCTTAAAACAATGCAATAACTTTCTCTAGAGAAACTTTAATTGCAATCTGAAGTTCCATTGCTATAGGGAAAGTGCTATTATGTCTGTGGTTTATGGATAGCTCTCATTAATTCAACTGGACACATTAAGTTTAGACCCTCAGTGTTTCATATATATCCCCCAAACACTTGTTTCTCCAGTCCATCCAAATAACAAGAATTAATATTGGGCAACGCAACTTCTAAAAAATATTTTAGCACATGGTTTTGGCATAATAAAATACTTTACTAACACAAATTGACAATTAAATTAGCTATCAAATACAGTAATTGTGCAAATATTTCAGAAGTTCTTCGGTTGTTTTGGAAAAGAATTCCCACACCAAGACAGAGAACAGGAAGAACACTTCTTTCAAAGGACTCTTTTTCAAATCCGAAACACAGTAAAACTGGTCATTCTTGGGTGGCCTTAGAGATTATTATAATGGTAACTAAGGCAGCTACTAAAAACATCACTAGACATGACTGGTAAAACAGAACTAAGCACAAAATGTAAACCCACTCCTTCCATCACAACAGAAGATATGAAACTATGCCTACATTTTAAAAAAAGTCCCAAATAGATACACTTTCTGAGAAATTTTACGAGTCCAAAATAGATTTTTTTCTCAGTCATAGATTGAAATTGTTCATTCATTTTACTAAGACTAAAACTTACTGGATTCAAAGGAACGCTCTTTCAAATAGATATCTATTGAGATTATCTATTAATTACTCTTTTTTTCCTGCACAATAGACCAGATAACTAATTCAGATTTCCTTACTACTGCTTAATTCTTTTACCCAACACCAACCAAGATGATTAAATACTGAACAGAGGTCTAATAACAGATGATTCTAGATACCTTATCTCCAGCTACTCCTGCTGTTCTTCTGCTTGAAATTTCCACTACTTCCTAAATGAAACCTTTCCACCACTAAATCCACCAAGTTCTCATGGCTGGAGTTCACTCCCTTTTTAGGACTTTTCAGTCTTAAGACAATAGTCATTTACTGACACAGAGTGATCCCTCCATACATTTCCTCATCTCAAGATTCATTCTCTTTCTCTCTCACACACACACACAAACCTAAATCAGCACTGTTACTAAGCCACTCATATTTCTTTCTTTTTGCTTCCACCAGCTGTCTCCACTAGCGGGAAGATGATGGGGGGGAGCATGTCACTGTATCAATCTGCTGATTCCAGAGCCATGGAAAGACAGGCTTCCTGATTAATAACTTGCTCCTCTCCAAAAATATTCAAAGCAGTTTACAGCATGAAAAGATTAAAGTAATATTTTAAAAAACTAAAGCAAACAAGCAACAATATTACTACTCCAGAAGCAACCTCTATATTAAAATGCTTGTTTAAGTTAAAACAAAATGTGGACTAAGAAACAAGATGTCTGTGAAGCCAAGGAAAGGGTATAGCAAGCTTTCCTAGGGAGGCTGCATAGGGTACTCAGAATAAAGACATAGGGGGAAAAAACATTATAGGAAGACTTTAGAAAACAGGAGGCTCGTAGAGGCTTGTTTTTCTTATACCAAAAAGCCCCAAAGTATACACAGAATGCATGATCCTTTCCATCCCTGGATAAGCACATCTTTACTGATTGATGAGGGCAACATTAAAAACAGCAGCTCAAACAAAAGTAACACACCGTGCTAAATGTGTAGATAGTAACAGCTCCTCTTCACTCATGCCAGGTTTAGATCTCAAGAGGAAGGGCACTTCCTTCCACTCAGATTCCATTTAGCACTTGCTTTTTTTTTTAAATACACTAAGCAAGGGCAAAAAAGAGGGGGTATGGGCAAAAGGAGGGGAAAACGCAAGTAACCAAAACCTGCTTAAGAGTGGAGGCATGGCACTAAAGAGGGAGCCATGAGGCATGTGCAGAATGACAGCCGTCTACGGTGTGGGGACATTCCGCCTCCTTGAGGTCTCTTCCCATCTGATGGCCAGAATCCTATTGTGGATTTTTGCTGACCTAAGCATAATTGCACAAATTACGGCAGCCAACTGCCACTAATTAACTAGTTGCCATTCACATGCCTAGTCATGCGCCAAGTTGCAAGACTGGCCTGAGACAAGGAATGTGGGCAGCAACTTGTTAATTAGTGGCAATTTGCTTCTGCAATTTATGCAGTTATACCGATTCCAGTATAAACGCACAATAAGATTCTGGCCCATCAGACAACCCATGATTTCCAAGAAACTGGCAATAGGCTTAGTGCAGGGCAGAGAGAAAGGAGACATGGAGTAACAGCTACCTATTTAGGGATGAAGGAATAAGCACAGAAAAAGAGCACAACAGAGCACACACAGAATGCTTCCTGCTGATAGCGTTTAACTTTCCATTTTAAGCTCATATAACATCCATGACTTCCTCTTTAATTTATTTTTATTGTGCAGGCCACCCTGAAGATACTTTAGGGTAAATACTGACATTTTAGTAACAGGCAGCAGCAAAACAAGCAAAGGACCCCCCCCCCCCAAGAAGATTCCTCCAATTTAACCAAAGATCCACCTATATTACAATTGTGGGTGTACCAGATTGCAAGGTGAGGGGGTGTGTGTGGAGGACATACCTTCCTGCCCCATTTTTATCATGCTCATGCATCATCCTCTCCACCTAATTAAAAACAAAACTACACTCCCCCCCCCAAAGTGGGAAGGAAAGAGATGTGTTAGAAAAGCAACCTCTGCCCTTAACTTATAAACCCCTGCCCAGAACTTGGAAAAAGCTACTTGTATTTTAGGGAGCACAACTCCCAGAACCACCACCACACACACACACACACACCAGGCAGCAGTTTATGGATCTTCCCAGCCTCCCCTATCCTAGGCAGGTTGTGGCTT